AGTTAATCACTGATTTGAAAATGGAAAACGATACTTATTAAAATGCTGATATTATAAGTGAAAACAGCACTGATGTAAAAAAATTAAAAACTTTAATAACACGATGGTTATGAAAATATAATAAAAACGTTTTATAAACATAAATAAATAATTATTTGTATCTACCTCTTTCTTTTTCTATATTCTAGGCATACAATAAATAAATATATATTACATAACAATTTCAAGATTTTATTTAAACATTATTACCACGTAATTATTAAAACAAATACCTATTAACAGTGGATTATGTACCTTTATCCTACCATCGATATTATTATTTACATGAATATACAGTATAACAATGAAATGTGAGAAATTAGTAGTCGTAATAGACAGAAAAGGGCTTTATAATATTTTAATGAAATCTTGATAATCGAATTCCCCTCATTTTGCTATATCGATTAAAAAGAAATCACCAAAATCGGAGTCATAGAAGCCGAGATATTGAACGCCGAAACACGCGAGCTTTTTTTTGAACGCGCGATTTCAATTTCTATAATTCATCCCCTCCTCCTGGTTTTGCGGCACAAATGGTCGGCTTGGCGATATTTATTGAATTTTTATAAAAAGAGCACACGTGCGATTATATTTATAAAAACACATACGGAAAGTTCTTGAAAAAACCTACCAAATTAAATTTTTATTGTTGTTACATTATGCATAGTTTTGCAGCAAGCGCTTGTTGACTTTGACACTCTATATCTCGGAACTTATAGGACCGATTTGAACGTTCTTTTTTTCAAGTTAAGCGTCTTTCCGAGAACTGTTTTTTAGCACTTTGGTATATTTTCCAACCCGCAAAACCGCTTCATGAAAGTATTTGTTTATAAAGTAAAAATTTTTCAAACTTTTAAAATCGCTCCAAAAATTATTCAAAAAAAGAAAATTGATATTATAACTATTCTATATGATAGATAAGGGGTCCAAGTATGTGTAAAAAAATCAGCGCCAATTAAAATGCCTAACTTTAACCCCAGCACTCACGTAAAAAAATAACGACATTTTGCGCCGAAATTTAGTAACAAATTGTCTCATACCAAAACTATCAGACCGATTTTGATCGGGTTTTGGAATTTCGTTTTGTAATCGATTAAAGTACTTACATCTACATTTATAGTAGAATCGGACAATTTCTTGCCTGTCAGTTTGACGCTTCCAAATTACCATTACCGATTTTCATCACGTTGTTTTGGCTATTTAGCAACAAAAATATGATATGCGCAGGTATCAAAACAGTTCTATCTTGTAGCAAATTTCATAACAAACAGTTTCTTCAGTATTAGTTTTTTTCTGTAAACTGCATATTTAAGAAGTTATATTGGAAAAACACGTCATTAACATTAAGATAAGTTATTAGAAATTACTATGACAATATATACTTAAATGACATTATACATGGTGTACCTTTGAGTGGGGCCATATTTATACACAGGTTTCTTTTGACCTTTAGAAACACGTATCTATAGTTTATTTTTTCAAATATCGTCGTAAAAACTTAATTTTTTTNCAACTGTTTGTTAGCTAACTACATCTTATACTGATAACATTGAACAAATTTTAAGTAAGATTACTAAGCTATGTGTGTCATTTATTCTCATATAGCAGTGTCCAAACTGCGGCTAGGTATTTTTTTCTACAACGTTCTGTTTCTCCTCAGAAATGCACCATACCTGAGCGATTTTTATACACTATTCTCATTCTCATATATTTTATAATTTTTAACTAAAATTGTGTTGATTAGCGCATTTCTTTGCTAAATTCTAAATTACACTTAAAATTCAACACCAAAATAATTTCATTTATAAGTAACGTTGAAATTACATTATCTTATTTTTTACTGTGTAAAAAATGTTATAAACATTTTTATTAAGTCGGATATTAAGTACTCCGTGAACTACAATCATTACCAAGGTCTGAATTGCAAATGCACCAAATACGATGAAAAATCAGATTACAGTTCAATTACCTAAAAAACTGATCCCTAGTTAAAGTAATCAGTAATAAATACGTCGTACTAGTGTTAGAGAAAATTAAAATCACATTAGCATATAATTCGATAATAGAAATCACAAGTAATATTTATTAATGACTCTTGTTAAATATCATATCAGGCTGAATGCAGCCATAGACTTTTAAATGATGGAGGCACCACGGGTGTTATAGGATAACGATGCCCGCAGGAAGTATCTAAAATTATTGCAGTAACAACTGTTATTCTGATTACTTTAGGCCACGAACTGCAAAAAATAGCGTATAACATGACTAAAGTGCCTTTGAATTAAAATTCTCAACCGAAAGATGAACTCTCTGTCGAAAATGCCATCCAAAGAAAGCGTCTTTCGATAAAAAAAGCACTTTAGTTTCCTGTTTATATGACATGCTATTAATATATTTTTAATGAATAATTTAATTTCTTTTTTCATACGTAACATATTCAATAAAATAGAACATGCACTATAAAAATACCACAAATACAGAATTACAGGCAATATTAGTTTAGCAAATGTACTGAATATTTATTTTTTCCATGCAGTGTCTCTAGAACCACATAAAAAAAACGAAATCATTATCTAAACTATTATTATTCTCTATGATGATGATATTAATTTGTTTTAATAACCTATAGACATTTGTATTCGAAAAATTTTAATAGACGTCATTAAAGATTCCTTTAATGTATTAAAGAATAATGTAAATCGATTCAAATTTTAACAGGTACAATTAGTTCCAAACACTTCACAATTCTGAAAATGAGTAGGATTGGAAGAGATGGTTTGCACGTTTTTATTAGGAATATCGTAGGTCTTAGTTCAAGTTATATTTGATTATAATTCTGTTCGCATTAAAAAATAAATTATTCTGATTAATTTTTACAACCCATGTCGAATAAAAATATTAATGACTCGATTAATAATAATAATGTCAAAACAACTATGTGAACTGGAACTTGATGTGAGGGTGATTCCATAATATGGCTATGGTAATAAAAAATCAGGTCTTTTCCTGCGACTTCAGTTTCCTGTTAAAATATGCAAATTTGTCTGGAATTGATTCATTCTGTTAACTTATCTGGTTATCGATAAACGTGATTAATTATAATTGGGTACATGGTTAAAGATCTTAGAAACGGTTGTATAAACCACCAAAATTTACTTTGGAAAGTAATCTCATAAATAATGTATGAATTATTTAGATATATAAATGGATATGCGTTTTCTCTGTTAAAATGATAAAACATTATTTTCGTAAGATAAAAATTTTACATTTCCACAGTTAAACTATGAAGAAAAGTCGATATAGTAGTACCCTGTCCCGTGATGATCATCGAAAGCACTGTGTTATTTTCAAAGTATCCCGAATTTGTCAAAATAGGCTCCATTTGAAGCAATACACTTTTTCCAATGAACAACCCTGTCGTCAAAGCACTTTCCAAACGCACATTCCTTCAGCGATTTTTGTTTTATGGCTTCTATTGAGAGGGACCATATCCTGCGAATACGGTGCTCGATGACATTCGTTGAGTTTTCATAGTTATTGCTTTGTGTGATGGTGCATTCTCGTGGTACAAAATCCAAGAATTGTCCTTCCATAAATATGGTCTTTTGACGTGTTTTTTTTCGTTTCGGCTGATTAAAAAAGCGCCATTACGAAGCCTGTTGGCTCGTTTACATGTCAAACTCGTAAACTCATGTCTCGTCACCCGCTATGATGCGTTGCATAAATGTAGAGTCCGAATTAACTCGTTGAAGCAATTAAAATAGTGCTAACTGATTCCTGGGCTATGTTTAGTTCATATGCCCGCTGTTTCAAACTATAATGTAACGCTTTGCAAGCACCATTTTCTTGACTTTATCGACCAGGACGACCAGAACGTGGCAAATTATCAACCACCATCGACCACTTTTCAATAATGCTTTGTACCATTCGTATGCTTGAGTTTTCAATAAAACTGAAGTGGAGGGGGGGGGGTCAAAATGTAGTGAATCACCCTGTACAAGGAATATTGGTGATATCATTGTTTATTTATTTATTTTTTAGTTTAGTTACTGAATATTTTCTGTTACACCTGCATTTTGTATAGTGTACATTCAACTCGTAGTGAAGTAAGACAGAAAGTAAATAGCATATTTTTTAATTTTGTCTGGAAATGGTAGTTGTTTGGGAATCAGGCCTCATAAACTACTTAATTGTTTTTCTGTCTTTAGATTTAGAACAATAATTGTCTCTTCTTTATGTTTAGTTGCGTTAACGTAATGTTGATATAAAGGTATGAACTTTATGTAAATTATGTGAATTTTTCTCATTGTGAGACGTTTGAAAGTAGTATAATAATCCTGTTATTATTTTCAAAATGTTAGTTGCAGCAACAACAAAATTCTTACCGTACCGTAAAAAATGTTGAGTAAATTTTCACTTAAAATCAACAAAGTTTTTTGTTAAAATGAGTCCACATCCGATACTGTTGAAATAATAACACTATTCGTTGAGTAATGTTCACTCAACTGTTTGTTAGCTAAATACATCTTATACTGATAACATTGAACAAATTTTAAGTAAGATTACTAAGCTATGTGTGTCATTTATTCTCATATAGCAGTGTCCAAACTGCGGCTAGGTATTTTTTTCTACAACGTTCTGTTTCTCCTCAGAAATGCACCATACCTGAGCGATTTTTATACACTATTCTCATTCTCATATATTTTATAATGTTTAACTAAAATTGTGTTGATTAGCGCATTTCTTTGCTAAATTCTAAATTACACTTAAAATTCAACACCAAAATAATTTCATTTATAAGTAACGTTGAAATTACATTATCTTATTTTTTACTGTGTAAAAAATGTTATAAACATTTTTATTAAGTCGGATATTAAATACTCCGTGAACTACAATCATTACCAAGGTCTGAATTGCAAATGCACCAAATACGATGAAAAATCAGATTACAGTTCAATTACCTTTCTCCCTGCTTTGTTATTATGCAAATTCATAAGACTCCTCTCGTCTCCTTCGAGCTCCCTCGCATCCATAAATTTTCTCGCGAACCTTACGCCGTAGTTGATGTCGACACTGCAGCCTCCCCATTTCCAACCAGATGGCGCCGGTTCTCTCGGCTTGGGGCCCGGATCGCAACCACAAGCGGATATATTTCCACGGGCACACGCCGCCGTCACCGCGTACGCCACTCCGGCACTGCTTATGGCGTAAGTAAAGGCTGCTTCCCGGGAACCTGGAAAGAAACACGGATGTGAATAATTAACTGGTGGATGTGATTTAATACAAAGGAGACAGTTATTATACAACAAGGTAGAATATTACTGGTCCTGGATTATTTTAGGGATTGTAGAGTTAGTCGTGCTCCTAAATGTTTTCCTTGTTTTGGTTGTTGAAGGTACGGTGAAGCAAATTTGTGATAAATATTCTAGAAGGAATTCGGAAAACGCGACTCGATCTCGTCTTCGAGCACAATCTTAGCAGGAGTGGCTAGATTTTGTCGAGGAGTATAAGTCTAGGTTCCAAAGTAAATTTACATTTATGTTTGGTGATCCAAGGCCATATGCAACATATATTACTTTTTATAGGAGGTTTGTTTGGCTACAGTATAGTGGTGTTACCAGATGTATTATAGGTAACAAGGCAGTAAAAATAGAATGGACTCTGAGATAGACCAATAACGACTGCTAATGGTTCTACTTTGTTGATCACATTTATCAAATACAATCACATGCCAGGAAAATGAGCGGGTTTATAGTCCGCAATTGTCATTCGTTTACTAATATCAAAGCTTTGGAAATTCTGTATTATACGTATGTTAGATCGAAGCTTGAGTATTGCTCATTGATTTGGAATCCCTATTACCAATTATATTCTGATGCCCTTGAAAATGTTCAAAGGCGTTTTTTGAAATTCTTGTCTTTTAAGTCTACTGGTATATATCCGGCTCAAGGCTTCGATCACGATACATTATTAGATATGTTTAACTTCCAAGCTTTAGAAACCCGCAGGCGTTGTCAGTCAATTCCTTTATAATCTAATTCATAATAAAATCGATTGCACAGATTTGCTAGAGCAACTAAGTTTTCTAGTACCACCCGCTGAGATGAGGAATCATGCAACTTTTTATTTGCCAAGGGCTTGCACAAACTTATTGTTAAAGTCCCCAGTTTATTTTATGTGCAAGACATTTAATTCTATCTGTAACACTTGCGATATAAACGATTGCTCGGTCAAAATGTTATGTATGAGTATAGTAAACCATGATCGTAATTGATGCCTCTCTTGCTTTAAGTTACATGTCTTAGGTTAAGTATATTCATTTAACTCCTACACTTTACCGAACTATTGTATTTTTCTTCTTTTTTTTTGTTTTTTGTTCTTTTGATGTTATTGAGTTTTTTATATTTATATTATGTACTATTTCAATGTAATTTAGCTCTATAAATGGAATTACTTCTGTTGGGCTAATAAATTATTATTATCATTATCATTATCATTATCATTATCATTATCATTATCATTATTATTATTATTATTATTATTATTATTATTATTATTATTACATGTTAAAGTTTTGGTGTAGTCAATTTACCGATTTACTTAGAGGGGAAATTAAAATTTTTAATTTTCTGATGATCCTTAAGAAAGGATAAGGAAATTATTTTGGGCAACGACTTAAGAGCAAGAAATGAAAGTTGCTCCACATTTTAGTAATTGCAGTTGTAATTTTTCTGGTAATGTGGAATCTTTTTTAATTAATAAGCAATCATTGGGAGAGGCGGAGCATGCCGAACTGAAGGAGGTATACAAATACTGTTCAGTTAGGGGTACTTCCCTTGGTTATGCAGAGGATGTTGTACATAAAATTGGGATTGTGAACCGATCAAGCAGATGTACTATGCAATTCTGCCATATATGCAAAAGTTATGAACGGCAAGTAGAATAATATTTCGCATTGGGGGTAGTGGAACCATCATCATCTAGTTCGCCAATACTAGAAAAAAATCCAATAATACGTACAGATTGTTTGTAAATTACAGAGTTCCTAATAAGGTAACAAAGAGAACGCATATCAAATCCCATTTATGTATGTCGATGGTATTAGACAAATTAAGGAATTCTAGGATACTCTTTTCGATGATTTGAAAATCTTTTGCCGACAGACAGGAATTGAGTAAGCAAGAAACTACATTCACTTTTTAAGTCTTGTCGCATGCCATTTGGCTTACATAACGCTCTACTCAACCCCCCCCCCCCCACGGCAGCTTTTTGTAGAACCGTTCCTTTTATATTGTTCATCTCGACGAGATTGTTATAGTGACTCCCGATTTTATTATTAGCGGCCAACCTAACAGTAAACCAAGAGAAATGTGAATACAGTAAACCAAGAGAAATGTGAATTTGTCATAAACGGATTGAAATTTTTGGGTTCCTAATAAATCAACGTGGTCTTTTGGTCGGCAGGGATAAGGTTTCAGCTATATTGGATTTCCCTACTCCTATGAAGGCCAAATAAGTAAGTTCATTTTTGGGGATGGCTTTTTTTATAGACGATTTGACAGCAACTTTGCTGGACTCGCAAAACCGTTGACAGAACTAATCAACAAGAATTCTCAGTTTGAATGAAATGACGAAGCTGAAGTTGCTTTTCGTGGGTTGAGGGGTACCTACTTAGTCTCTACACCTATTCTTATGTGTCCGGACATTGAACGTCCATACACAACAGACGCTATCACAAAAACTTTGGGTGCTATCTTGGTGAAGGTATTTGATGATGATGAGAGGGTTATCGCTTATGCGAGTTACTCTCTGCTAGAAAATAAAAATTATCTGCAACAGAATTGGAATGTATTGCAGATTTGTGGATCGTCAAACGGTTTTGGAGTTTCATTGACGATGCTGTAACTACGAATCATGCCAATTTATTCCCATTGCATTCTGAGATATAAGCTCCCAATGCTGGATGCTTCCTACTTCTGTTTTCTATCAGTACTTGACTTATCTGAAGTTATTCATCCGTTCGAAAGCTATTAGCAGAAAGATCGCTTTATGATTTCATTACATCTCAATTCTATGGTTATGGAATAAACCCGCCTACACGAACGAATTTATAGATGTATCCAAGTTAAATTATTTTCTTCTCATGTAATTTCATTTTCATACAATTTTATTGCACTTAATAGAAAGCTGTCAATAAAAGAAATTTTATTACTAAATTTAAGTGTTTAGAAAGCAGAAGTATACAATATAAGTATTTATAATTAATAATAGGTACGTCCAATAAAGAAATTTTGTTACGACTTAGCAGCCATCTAAAGTTTAGAATCCGTAAAACCGCATGTCAACAAAGAATTATTCATCATATACGGCTACTTCTAGATGTAAGTACTCAATTAACATTGGTAACTTGTAAATTTCTATTATATTTTATAGGACCTGTCTATGAAAAATCTTATACCTATTTTCTATTTCTCTGCTTTTTCAGTGAGAATTTTTTGTTAGGCAAAACTATTGTCAGTAATAATATAACAAGAGAGTGAGAATAAATTGAAAATAATTTGACAGATTTTTTGAAAACTTGTTGCCAGGCAATAGTCACGAGAGCCCGCAGGGCTCGAGTGGCTATTTCCAAATGGCAACAAGTTTGAACAAAATCTGTCAAATTATTTTCTAATTTATGGAACTCGCGAGTTATATTTGACTAGATTATTTTTTGATTCACAAATTTTTACAATAAAAAAGATCAATAAAACTATCATAAAACTATTGAAAAATTTAATTTAATTAATTATTACAATATACGAAAATATCGTTGACACATTGTGAATATATTAAAAGAATTAACAATTTAAATTAGTACAATGAAAAACGCAATTATTAAAAATATTTCGAGAGTCATTATTTATTGAGGATTTGGAATTGCTTGTTATATTAAGTGTTTCCTCCTGCGTATTTTCTCTAAGATTATTTATTATATTTGAATGATGTTCTTGGTTCAATTGTAAGTATGGTTTAATCGAACTTGCAGAATTATGACCAGTGACCTTGATTAGTTCTTGTTCTCCTACACCAGCTTTTGAAAGGTTACTTACTGCACTTGATCTGGCAGAATGGTTAGTTATTTTTTTAGTAACTGTGTCTAGACCTACTTTTTCTGCGGATTCTTTCATCCATTTTGAAATGGAATTTATTCCCACAGGAACGTTTTTATACCAAGAACCATGAGTTTGCCAAGCCGGATTTGGAGTAAGAAACAAGCGTTCGGTTTTAATATTTTCTTCACGTTTACCCATTAGTTTTTCAAAAAGACGAACAGGGCAAATATCTGGGTTATTTATGTTTGGAGTCAACCATTTACTATTAGCGCACCTTTGTGCTCCACCCTGTGCAGTTTTTGTAAAGATGGGATTGTATTCAATGCGGCCAGTATTTAATCTTATTATGTCGGTTTCTTTTTTAAAATAATGAACTAAACATTTCGTAGCTTCTCCTCCCCTCCAAGCTAGTTCATACGATGCAACGTGAAAAAACTTTCTTTGCAATCCACAAGGTGTATCTTCGTCCCAATAGTTAAAAATTTGCAACAATTCTGTATTAGAAAGTGCCACAGAACTTTGTTTGTGCTTTTCAGGATGTTTTTGTAAAATTTTTCTTTTTGCATCTCTTGCATTTCGAGCATTTTTGAATTCTATATCATGGAAAGGATCAAAGGACCTGTTATACTTATTAAAGTAAAGTTCTTGAACTAATTTTGCCGTTTTATTCCACATTGTCTTTATTACTGCTTCTTTATAATCATTTCCGTCTTTTCTTTTCATGTTATAAGCCCAATCTTTCAAAATCAATGCCAGAGTAGCTGTTGTAGTAGATTGATCCAGAATATAATTTCTTTCTTTGGTGAAGGTCTTAAATTGACTCCATATAGACTGATTACTTATTAGAGTATTTTTCGAAGTAGTTTCTACAATTTTTTTTGTTATTTCCGCATCAGAAAAGGTACTAAACCGATGATATTCACCCATTTTATATATCGCGTTGACACAATTAGGTAATTATTTTGACAACTATCTGACACTTGCTACGCAAATAAAAGCCACAGTGATTATTCCCGAGAATAATCACAAGAGATTTATTCCCACTATAATAATGACATAATTGGTTGAAACTTACCCTTGTGACAAATAAAGAAGCATTTCAATGGTTTTAAGAAACGTCAAAAAATAATCATTAAAATAACCCTGACTGATCTATTTGGCGTAAGGTTTATTTCACAAATTTCTTATATTTTTTCAATAAAGAAAAAAAACCATGCCACAAATAAATATATTCAGACAATAATAGTGGGAGTTAAGATAAGTATACACGTTAAACACGATACTCCTCGACTGGGAATTAAATTCCTTACTTTTATTTTTCACCTCCACTGATTTATTTTAATAAAAAATTAGACTCAAAATATACGCATTTGTAACTGCAAAATACAGTATGCATTGCAAGCTGCTACGGTAGACGCCAAGCTGTTAATATCTCTCTACCTCGAGGGTCGAATGCGGTTAATTCCAAGAAAGTGACGCAGAGGTCTTCTTGGAATTTTATCTCAGCAAATATCGTACGGAGTGTAACTGCTGTAAGTCATATTACTCACATATTTGTGAGTTATTGTTTAAAAAATGTGTTTCATTTTAAATCTTTAAAGAATCATAAAGACCTGAGAAATTGTTTCACGAAAACATGTTTTCATTATTTTTGGTCACAGGGCGCCCTTGAATATATGATGCAGATTTTAATACCAGACAGAATTAATCAAAATGGTAGACAAGTTTTATTAATATAGTGTGCAAAACCGTACTTATCTTATCAACTTCCACGTCACCTGTTACATAGGTGTTGTATAGCAATGAAAAAGTAATATTAACGGTCGATAGAAGGAAGCACAAAAAACAGGCACTTAGGTAGGAAATTCTGGAAGGAAGCCTAAATAGTTGAAGATAGGGAGTTGAAGTGCGAACAGTGTGGAGATCGGTGGCAAGACGATCGGCGGGCAGTGTGTCAAAGTAGTGAAAAGTTAATTGTTGAAAGTGTTATTAGTTAGCAGGTAATATTCTTTAAGTACTTTGTTGTTAATTGTTCTATGAAATCTTATGATTGTGATGTTTATAGATGTTTCATGATAATAATTCTCTGTATGTTTAGCTTCCATTGCTTTATGCTCAAGGGCATATATTTTTCTAAGGTAAAATTGTTATAATTATTCTTAACGATTGCTCATTATTTATTACATGTTAAAATATATATTGTCGTATATATATATAACGACTCCTTTGTTTCACATCTAACTTGTTTTTGTCCTGATTACGTCGTCCGAAAAACATAGATATTTCATGATAATAATTCTTTGTATGTTTAGCTTCCATTGCTTTATGCTCAAGGGCATATATTTTTCTGAGGTAAAATTGTTATACTTATTACTAACGATGGCTCATTATCTATATCATGTTAAAATATACATTGTCGTGGGCGCCCCGACTTTACAATAATGACTCCTTTGTTTTACAACTTGTTTTAGTAGTGATGACGTTGTACGTAAAATATAGATGTCTCATGATAATAATTCTGTATATGTTTAGCCTTCATTGTCTTACGCTTAGGGGCGTATATTTTCCTAATATTAAATTGTTACAATTATTATTTAAGGTTGTTTATTATTTATGACATGTTCAAATATGTATTTTGTCGAGACCGCCCAGATAGTGCAATAACGACTTCTTTATTTCACATTTAACTTGTTTTAAACAAGATCATGTTGTTCTTTGATTTCTTGTGTCCACTTTATGTCACACGTCTATACGAGCCTTGTTGCAGTTACTAACATTTTCGCCCGTGCGGAACGAATCTGGATTACGCTGGATAGCCTCCTGTATGGGACTCCAGTGTTAAGAAGGATCTTCCGAAATCTCAACTTTAGCTGAGTAGCCTCCCGTATTATGGGACCTCAGTAACTTCCGGCTCTGCCGGCTAACTAACACCAAATCTCTCCAGTTTTACTTGGTGTATGACTAATATGGGGTTAACAGATGACATTTAGTGACACATTAAATGAGACAGGACTTATTTATCATTAGCAAAGGTTCTTAATTTATGCCTTTGGTTAGCGGTTGTTTTGTATTTATATTTGGGTGGTAAGAGCAACGATCGTGGGTTTCTCTGCCATGCTCTTTCCCCACAGGAGCACTAGGTGAGCCTGGCACTCTCATTTGATGTTAAATGGTTGTTAATGTTTTTGTTGTTCTTTCTATTTGTCACATGTTTAATTTGAATTGTATGTAAATAAAGGTTAGGTGTATTTTTTCTGCTTTTGTTTTATATAATTAAACCATCATCCCCTCTACAAAGTTAGTAGCCAGCGCCTTCCGGTCAATTAAAAATGGATACACACAACGTAGGTAGTCCTTATGACGATCACATATTTTTGGCCACAACTACGTTTACTTATTTTTTGTCGAACCTAGGGTTGTTATACTACAATAGGTCAGAAAATTCATATTAATGGTGCAACGTCCTTCAAAAATATTAATTAGAAACTATGAATTTTTTACTTAATTAGAAGCTATGAATTTTTTACTAAAGAAAATGGATAAATTGATATTAACATTTTTAGTACAGACACAGGCAGATAAAATTGTGATGATAAGCGTGTTTGCATAAGCATAGTGATGTTCATTTTTAATTTTCCTTCGTGCAGTTGAAAAGGATGTCTACTCTTGCTGCTATTACTAGTAGTGAAACTGGACGACAAACGAACACTACAAATTGTACAAAAAATTGGAATTTATATGTTTCATTACACATATAACAATCAATTTTTCGATTTTCGTTTAATAATAAAAAATAGCCGTCTAATTAATAGCTTTGAGATATCATTTTGATGATTTTTACCTAGCGTTAAAGTTAACACCTATTCCGGTGTACAAAGGATTATAAAAACAAGTTTAAAAGAGCTGTCTTCTAAATTTAGATATATTGCTTATATCAAAGCAATAAATTCAATTTTGAATATTTTAACTTTATATTTTCACATTCGTCTAGTAATATTGAAAGAATTATAGCTTCGGAATGCAGAACATTAAGAAAAATAAATTTAGATAAACTGTGTAATAATGTTTTTTGTATTGACGTAGTATTAATAAAGTGTTCAATATGACTGTGTCGAATAACATCATTTTTTACAAAAACTTATTCAGTTCCCGTAATACCTGTTTATTAACATGTCCTACTGTTTTTTATTTGATTCATTTTCCATAATAATAAGTGTCAAATGCCCTGTTGAAGTGTTGGAACGGTACAGCTATCATATAAATAAACATTTATTCTGAAACTACTTACGCACCTTTAACCAGGCTTATATGTTTAATTATTTGTAGTTATTATAAGCCTGTAATGAAGATGATAAGGATCTCGCTAATGAGTTGAGATGTTTAGCCGCGACATTATGTGAATCCCGCCGAGTAGATCTTGTCAGTAAAGTTAGAACACTTTATTTGAATAACTTGTTTGAAAACTTATTTAAATATTTTTTACTGACATCTGATTAGCAGCAATCACTCACTTTCTGTATGAGTTTAGTTTTTTATATTCTGGTAATTGATTATAAAATCATTGCACCTATCAAATATGCCAAAAGGATGTCTTTCTTTATTAAGTTTTTTATCTTTGTGTTAATTGTATAATGTCGTTTTGTAATGAAAGTTTGACACAAGCACATTAATCAGGGCACCTTAAAATGTTTTCCTACCTAATTTCAGACTAAGATTCAAATTCTGTAAACTTGTGTATCTATCTATCTATTAATATCTGTTGTTATAATAGTTGTAGGGCTTGTAAATTAAGTAGAAAAAATATACTTATTTAAATTAGATAGAATAGTGAAGACATCCAAAAATTAGCCATTTATAAAGTAAGTTATATTAGTATCTAGATAACAGCATTCTATTTCTTGTCATCATATTCGCTTTATGTAACAATAATGCTTAAATGCAATAAAGTTTATTATAAAATATATTACTTATACTTATGGTATATTTACGGTAAATGTTTAAGTGACGATACCGAGTATTTCTGTGACGCTTCTATCTCTCTGGCGCGGTCAAAAGAAATAAATAAATAAAATAAAGAAA